GAGGTTTTTTTGTTGGTGAGAGGGGGGGGGGGGGGTGTAAGAGGAAATGCTGGGAACATTATCATTGTTCTTGGACACTTATAAAGCAAGTACATTATTATATTGACTCTATATGATGTCTTTTTTTTATGCTTATCTTACTAATTTTTTGCATCTGTAGTGTCATATCTGCTGTTTTGTGGTTTTGAGCCACTTTCAAGTTCTCGTGTTATTTTCTCAAATTTTAAAAGCAATTTTTCATTAAAAAATCATGATGCTTTTAAGTGTAACATTACTGAAGTCTTAATGTTTTTGTTTGCTTTTACAGTAATGTAGATAATTCAACAGAAAGAATCAACATGAAATTAGATTCTTTTGACAAAAGTTATGTGGTTATTTTTACTTGATTAGGGCCATCCGAATTGGAGATGAACATAGGAGGACCTCAGTACAGCCAACAGCAGGCACCTCCAAATCAGACTGCACCATGGCCAGACAGCATCTTGCCTATAGAACAGGCAACTTTTGGTAATCAAAACAGGTGAGTCTTACTGTCACATCAAAACATGGAGAGATTTTCCAGACCCGTATTTTATACGCCTCATGGAAGAAAAGCCCGACATAAAATACTTGCCAAATATCAATTTAATATTATTTATTATTTAATACATCAATTTAATGCTTGTAGTATTTTATACTCGTGCAATGTATACATGTTCCAGTGCTACTTATAAATGTTCTCTTTGCCATTTAATGTGTTGGAAGAATGTGAAGTTCTGTATCACAGTGCATGCTACCAGTGCTTTGAGTAGTTGCACCATTTTCGCCTCTTGAGCGTTAACAGGGGTATGATTCTGTCTGGTTTTGCTGGTTTTATTGTTAAAAATTAACACGAAATGTGGAAAAATGTTAGCGCCTTTGTAGTTACAACATAGCTGTCTTTTCCTGCAACGGGGTAGCGTTTTAAGTAGTGCGGGACAGCGTTGATTTCTGTTTTGTTTGGGGTTTTTTAATTGACCTAAATTCTGTAAAAGATGAGGAAGGAAAGATGAAGTAAAATAGAGGCTGCCTCTTCCCTGAACTTAGCTCATTCTCGGGTATCCGGAACCGCAGTTTGATCACAAGTTATTAACTCATATGTAATATATTAACTTTGTTCATTATTAAGACTTTTAAGTAATGCCGTAACTATGAAAAGCAATTTACACTTCTTTAAAAAAAGGCATGTCTTCTCCAAAAAGTTTGCCACTTAAATTAGAGAAATTATATATATATATATATATGGACTGTATAAGTGATACAAAATGTACAGATAAAGGAGAAATGTTGAAATATTTTGAATTGCATGCGTTGGGATTTTTTCAGTAGTAAATGGGAGGAGTGCTGAAAAGAAAATTAAGAGGAAGCAGTTGGGAAAAAGTGTGTTTGAAGAAAGATTAATTCTCTCACTACATTCTCTTAATTTTCATTATGAAAGTATGTCCGAAAATATTATCTGTAAATTTAAGTGTGGTGTTTTCTGTTACTTTTCTAACTTTTTCATGCCTTTCAAGATGTTTCCTGGTGCTAATTCTCCCCCAATTAGGGCGTCTGCATGCCAGAAGCACTGTTTGCATAACTTAATTATTCACTTAAAAAGTGACACCATAAAATAAAATACAGGGCAAGCCAGGCAGATAACTCTTCCATTTTGTTACCTTTGCATTTCTCGTGATTTCCTTGTTGCTGAAGATGGTGAAAAAAGTTCCCATTGCATTGTGTCTGAAAGTAATCATATTTTGATCATTTACACCCAAACAGAGATGATGAATTGTTTGGTGCTGCCATTTCTTATTTTATTAATCCCTGGGATTTGTATTTTTATAATCTGATTATCATCATGAGTATTAAATTTGATAAAAGTTAAATCATAAGTAAAAATAATTATTTTAGAGAAAAATTAAACAGTATTATTGTGGTATATAAAACAAATGGGGAAAAAACCCAAAGTAATTGTCATTGTTTAACATACAGAATTTGATAAATGTTTTAAACTTGTTCTTATCATATGTATTCATGCCCATTTACAATTTGAGGGAGGGGTTTTTTGGCTAGCCCCATCGATTATTTCTCCAGATCATAGATCCCTTCTTATAAGTCACCTTTAAAGTTTGCAAGCAATTTGATTCAAAGGATTTTTTTTTTTTGCTCTTCCCATTTACTGATTTATAATTCCATCTGTGAGAGTTAGAGAAACTTCTCTATATATAATATTGATTAATACTTTGAGGTGTTTTAAAGGTATATCATATACATCCTTATTTTTATTTTTTATAGTCTGGGATCTAATTAAAAAGAATATGTTTCTGTGGATTTTCCTGCTTGCCATCCTTTGGGTTTTTAGGTGTATAGCCTGACGATGCAGCTCGTTCCTTCTGCTTAGCTTTGACATAGAGATTAGACTTCCATGGCAACCATATATCTCATTATGGAAACTAAATACACAAACATGTTTCTTTGTTTTTCCAAGCAGACATGTAAAAAGGGTTCACATATAGTGCTGTTTCCTCCCTCCATATGTGACAGCTTTTGTTGTCTCTGAGTAATTATCTGGGATGAGATTCTGCCATGATGTGCATATAGTAACTGCCCTTGCTTGCTGAATGCTTTGCTCTTCATATTTTCTATTGTAGTTTTGTAGTATTGTGTGTGAAGTAGGGCTCGTGTGTGAACTGCAAAACTAAAATACGTCATTTGGCTGCAGATAAGGTGTTATTTCAGATTTCGTTTGTTTCTCAGTAAGTTTTGTCCTTTGGGTTTGGAATAAACCTTTATTCTGCCTTTGTAACTGTGAGTGTGCTTTGCATACAAATTCAGGGGTGAGGTAAGCAGGATTCATAGAGCCAGCACACTCTGCCTGACAGTATCCAAATTCTTGCTGACACCCTTCCGAGGCACATAACCAAGTGCACAAACTGGTACCCAAGTGTGCAATTCCATAAGATGGGTTAGGCTGATGCAGTGTTTTGCTGCAAACAAAAAGGGGAACGTCCTTTTGTCTGACTCCCTGCTCCCTCATGCTTCTGGCCAGCTCTTCCAGATGTTTGGTTTGTGCGACCTCAGACAATCCTCAGACCCCTCTGTGACCTCTTTGGCTTGCTTAGTCTGATAGAAAACCAGTTAAGAAGAGTGTCTATGGAAACGAGTTCTTCTCCTTGTGATAGGATACTTAGTCTAATGTCTAAAATTCAAAGTTAAAATTAGTTTAAAAAAAAAATTATTTAAACTTCTGTGTTCAGTGACTATATGGTATACTGACTTTTCTGTTCCTCTGTTGACCCTGTAATATGAAATCAGCACTCGGGCGTACCTTTGTGCTTGCTTACTTGTCGGGTGCACTGTGCTTGTAGGGTCTTGACAGGCATTAGTCACGCTATTTAGTTATTTTTTTGAGTAGCATAACTTTCATCCAGCATAGTTTTCCAAACAAAATTGGCAGCAATTAAAAGAATTTATGTCTCCACTTGGTAGTGCAATTTGAGTACTAATCCTCTGATATTATTTCTTGTTTTTCAGCAGCTGTTTACCAATGCTGTGTTCATGTTTTCACAGGCAACCGTTTGGCAGCTCACCAGATGATCTCCTGTGTAATCATCCTTCATCAGAGTCACCGAGTGATGAGGGTGCTCTCCTGGATCAGCTTTACATGGCATTAAGGAATTTTGATGGTTTAGAAGAAATCGACAGGGCTCTAGGAATACCAGAATTAGTTAGCCAGGTATACTGGAGATTGCATTGCACGTTATAGGCATTGCATTTAAAGGGTATGTTGTCCAGGTGGAGGTAAAATGTGTGTTGAAGAAGGGGATTATAAAACACTTCTTGCAAGCTAGGATGGAGGTACATATTTTGGTGGGAGTCCGTCTAATGGCTCAGTGTCACCTGAAAAGCTTCCTTCAGCCCCAGGTTTAGTCTTCCTTCCTCTTCCCTGCCACCCTCACCTAGCTCTCCTTCTTCTAACCTCTGCTGAGCTTTATGCAACTAACCTGACCTAATCCAAAAAATCAACAAGCTTCTGCTTATCTGGTGGTCAGAGGAATGACTGTATGGGAGAAAGGTAAGATCACAGCCAGCAACAGGGTATAGGAAAGAAGAAAGAAAGAATATGAAGACCTAGGAGCAGAGGGGCAAGATCAAGACCTTTGTGTGATGGGAGCAACAAGCTTTTGGATGAGCAAAACTGTAACACGTACTTTCACCTGTAGTTTTCCCCTTAGTTGATTAATGTGTGTTAAGGGACAAGTTTCACCTGCAGCAGCTGATTTCATTCTAAGCACTTAAAACTGTAATTTTTTTTAAAATTATGAACATGCTTCGTAAACTTTGCAGCATGAATTTGTTCGGTTCTTTTTCATCTGTTTTTTTCCTCAGTTATTTTTTATGAGCTTCCCATTGGTTCTTGTCCATTTCAGTTGTATATGATGCAAAAAAGTGTGGGTAAAAAAAAAAAAAATTGGGGGGGAAAAGTTAGCGCTTGATGTCTCTGGCATCAAAATTGTATTTCCAAAAACAGCTGTATGTATCTCTATAATGATTTAATATTCTCAGACAAGCCTAGAATACCTATTTCATTTCCCAGCACTCATCAGCGTCCTGAGCATAACTTCTGAACAAGCTTTGCATTTTAGATATGAAATAGGACCAATGAAATCCTGCTTTGGACATGAGAAAACTGTCTCCAAGCCTATTTGGTACAACACAGAACTCAGTGAGGTGTTAAACTGGAGATATAATTTATTGGTGAACTTCAGTTCTGCAGCGTGAAACTTTCATGCAATATGACATAGCTTTTGGAATACCACCAAAAAAACATGAATAATGTTTTATTTCAAACTAAGTGGTAAATATCTTTGTATTTAATTAATATCTCAGTGGAAACAGTTAAAGAATTTTGCAGATAAGAGAACTGTTGCATTTTAGAACATGTTTTTAAATATACATCAAACATTTTATAGGAGCTTAAAGTCTTTCTTTCATGAGGGCACTGAAATTCAGATTAACTCGATTTCCAAGGTCAGTGTGGAATAAGCTATAAAATTATTCTGGCTAGAGCAAATATTAGGGGAGTATCTAGAATGGAGTTTAGAATTGTGTTAGCTTTTTTATGGTAATGGATAATCAGTTTGTGCGGAAGTGTCCTGAAAGAATTAGGCACTCTGTTCACATTAGCTTCTGTAAGAGTTTCTGGCATCTTTATTTGAAGTCATTATTTTGTTTAAAGATACTGATAAAAATCTACTTTCTTATCCGTATTCATGTGTAACATCTTTGAATTTATCTTGGATTCAATGGCAAAAATATGCTGGCATCACTTCATTTACAGATTTTCATATAGCATTTCAGGTGCTTATTCGTTAGCAGAATGATACAATGGCTATGTTAAGAACACGTCAAAGATTGTGGGTCTTTGTTTAAAAAAAAAAAAAAGAAAAGAGAAGAGGCATTTGTCTCCATGAGTATGTTTTGACACTCAAAAATACAATTCTATTTATTTTTAAGTTTTATATTTAGGTAAAGAAAATTTATGTGATTTTCTGTTTTAAAAACATTCGCAGCCTATAAGGTTGGTTTTGCAGGGTGGCTGTATTAGTCTCGTATAAGCCTGTGGAAAGCCATGTCCCGCCAACTCTTTCTGTCGTTCACGTATTTCTGCAGAGCCAAGCTGTCGACCCAGAGACCTTCCCCAGCCAGGAGTCGAGCATCCTGATGGAGCAGAAGGCGCCGGTGTTCTCCCAGCAGTACGCGGCGCAGGCTCAGATGGCGCAGGGCAGCTACGCGCCCATGCAGGACCCGAGCTTCCACCCCATGGGGCAGCGCCCTGGCTACGCAGCCCTGCGCATGCAGCCCCGGCCCGGCCTCCGGCCCGCCGGCATCGTGCAGAGCCAGCCAAACCAGCTGCGGCTCCACCTGCCGCACAAGACCCTTTTTTCAGCAGGTACATCCCCTTCCGTGCCCGCTTTCACGCTGGCGCGGGCACCTCTCCTAGGCGGCGCCTGCTGACTGTCAGCTTGCTCCAAATAGACCAGGTCTTAAGCGTGCACCCTCTTTTATTATAGCCTGATTCCACTTCTAAACTGAAAACGCTAGCCGCAACGAGTTTGCCGAGACAGTACTTCGCATGTTCTCTTTTTTGATCTTTTTTTGCATCTTTCTGTTCTTCTTTCTATAATACTGTGCAAGAATGTGCCTAGTATTTAAGCCTAGGTCTCACCAATTCTTTGAGCAAGGCTACGGTGATGCTTTTTGTTACATAAGTCGTTTCCTGTTTGTTATATCTTGACTCTTCCAGCAATCTAAATGCTTTTATTGCTGCACATTTTTTTTTTTTTTTTTTTTTCTCTTGGCCTTGGTCTACTTTTGAGGATCACTTTAAGTTGCTGTTCCGTGCTCATTTTTAAATATAAGTTTGTAGTACCATAAATAAGATAATAATGGTTCTCTAGTGGAGCAGAAAAGATCGCTTCTGCCTTCAAATGTCAGGATAGGGTCTAATTCAGAGTAAACCTCAACTGTCCAGTCCCAAAGTCAAAAAGGACAGGACCTGTAAAGGTAACTTGTTCGGTAAACAGCTTAATGCCTGTGTTGTTATTTGTATGGTGTATTATCTCCTTAAGAAACAGGATTCTGTGAATGATAACAGGACTTGAGCACAAAAACTAGTCCCTGCTTGAATATGGTCCTCAAACCAACTGATCGGGAAGTAGATGTATGTACTGCTGTATATAAAATTGCCCTTTTCTTGTTCTCCTAAAAACTTCTGGGGTTTGGTGTTGGGGTTTCTTTTTCTCTTTAGAATCGGCAGCCACTGATAAATCAGATCAGCAGTGTCTCCAATATGAATCTGTCTTTGAGACCTGGAGTGCCAACACAGGTGAGAGAAATAGTATTTTTTAAAAAAAAAAACCACTTTGTTTTCTTCTTTCTTCCCCCAATTAAATACAGTAGTAATGCTATGTGGTAAATATATACGATAAATTCTAAAGCTTGAATATAAATAATGCAGTCTGTATGATAAGGAGTATTTTACTGTTTTATTTCTGAGAGTCTTTCCAATATTTACATGGGGTGGATGGTTGTTTACTAGAGATATGATATAACTGCATTTTTAACCAAGCTTCTCATTTCCTAGAGATGCATTTTTTTAATGAGCTACTCTATTTGCAATTACAAATCGCTGCAACATTAAACACTGGTATTATTTCAGTTACTGACTCTTGCACTGTGGGAAGTCTTTCGCAGCAGAAGTATTAATAGGATTATTTTCTCCCGTTTAATATTATTGCTAGTTGCGTGGTGGGGGAAGAAAAGTGCTGGAATCTTCCAGATTGCTCCCGTAGAGATGCCTCCGCCAGTCAGGTTGCCTTAGAAGGGGTTATTGACAGGTGGCGGTGGTTTTCCCTGCAGGGCCCTATCAACGCGCAGATGCTGGCGCAGAGGCAGCGGGAGATCCTGAGCCAGCACCTTGCAGCAGCAGCAGCAGCAGCAAGTGCAGCAGCGGACGCTGATGATGCGAGGGCAGGGCTTGAGCATGACCCCCAGCATGGTGGCCGCCGGTGGCATACCAGCAACCATGAGCAATCCGCGGATCCCGCAGGCAAATGCACAGCAGTTTCCATTTCCTCCAAACTACGGTACTGGTTCCACCCCCGCAGTGCATTTTGGCAGTCCTTACTCCCTCGTGTCCTCCCCAGTGCTGGGTCCAAGCCCCCCTCCCACAGCCCCTTGCCTGGCTCCCTGGGTACGATGGGAAACGTGGAGCTTCAGGCCCCTTGGGAGTCCTCAAATACAACATGGTACCTTCCACTTTCCTAGCTCTAGTACCATGTATTCTCTGAGTGCTGCTCTTTTTTTGAGCAATAGCAGGAGTGTGATGTGTGTGTCTGCATATATCTATGCATATAAACACACAAAAATGTGTATGCACGCAGGAACATGTATATGGGTATGCATTGGCTTGATGGACTCTGAATTTTGACTACACTCAACACACCAATATATACAGTAAAAAGTACAAATGAAGAAAAAGATATGAATTGATGCTGGCAAACAGTATAAGTTGACCAGAAGCTTCATCAGAAGCAAAGCTGTACATAATCCTTTTAAATCGTTTTTATATTGGTGGGGATTTTTTGCATTTTGGTAATGAGATATTGCTTAAGTATCAGGTAGATTCTTCCCCCAAAAAGATAATTCTTCATGTGTGCATTGTAATGTAAAATTAGCAACTGACTATTGAGTTTAAGTAATAAAAATTCATTTCAGATTAGGTGTTCCCTTCCCTGTCCTTAAACTTGTGTGTAATGTGACAGCTAATACCATTTTTTTGGTATGTTTTACAAAACGGTATACTGTGTTGTTCTGGGGGTGCATGGGACAGTTACCCCCCTATGGTTGTTGTTCTACAACTTCTTTATTTATAAATATTGTATAAGTTATATTACAAGTATATTAAATAATACATAATGGGCAAGTTCTGCTGATATAACAAATTATGTCCATCCAATTATGAATTGGCTGTCTACTCTTACTGATCTGCTATCCTTTACGCCAGTAAGAAGTCATGCAGATGGTGAATATAGGAATATATTTCATACCACCTGATTTTTATGCCAGCATTAGGAGTGCCTTGTTTCTGTTGAGTATGCTGTTCATGATGAACTTAAGCAAGACCAAAATGACGTGGTTTAAAACAAAATTTCTGCACATAATTGGCATATAACAGCTTAAATTAGGTTTTCCTTGCATCTGGGTATTCTTTTGATTTTACAATGTCGTTAAAAGCTTGCGCAAACTGCCTTTGCCTGTTTCTGCACAGACACAGAAATAGAGGTACTGAAGTTCTAGGAACTTTAGAAAAAGTTGAAAATTATAGCCTAAATGTTAAAAGGTGGTGCCATGCAGTAAACGGGTCATGCATAACTTTCACCAAAATGGGTTTACAGACAGAAGCAAAATGTTTTATTTGTTGTTTTGAATGCAGTTTCTGGGAAAAAAAAGTCACTTACCAGTGTTTTTCTTTTGGTCTGTAGAGAGGAGAGACCGCTTGTGTGATTAGGACACACAGGTAGCCAACATACTTATGCAAAATGGTTTTTTTAAGGTTATGCATAAGTATTAGTTGATGATGTCTTGTTTTTAATCTAGACCCCGCATTAAGACACAAGGTTATAGGCTCCACATGACCTAAGTAGGAGTGTATAAAGATATGCCTGCAGGTATGAGCTCTTGGCTTGTTTTAACTTCAAATGTACAGCAGCTAAATTTCTCATTTTTTTTCTTCAGGTATTAGTCAGCAGCCCGATCCAGGCTTCACAGGGGCCACCACTCCTCAGAGTCCACTGATGTCCCCAAGACTGGCTCATACGCAAAGCCCCATGATTCAGCAGTCTCAGGCTAATCCTGCCTATCAGTCCTCTACAGAGATGAATGGGTGGGCACAAGGGAATATGGGTGGAAACAGGTAAATCCAGAACAAAAGCAAAATGAACACACAGAGTAATGGGGTCATTTATGGTCTACACTTATTTATGGGGTTGTTTATATGTAATTGTTTGCTTGTTTGTTTGCTGTTAACTGTCTATCCTAAAAGAGATTTCTTTTCAATTTGGCTTGACGAGTTGGTTTAAATTCTCTCTTCATACAAGGCAAAGTGAGTGCATAGCTAAAAGACCTGCATCCACACAATGCATTGCTTTGTCTGTGATAACTGATAAAACACTGTGTGTCCTTAAGAAGCATCTCTGCTGCACAGTGAGCTCCAGCCCCTAACATTCGTGTGGATGCATTTCTTCTGCATATGATTTTCATGTGCTCCCACACTGCTTTCCACACGGCTGGATCAGCTGAGCCAGAGCCTATGCATTCCCTACCGCTCTGGATTTGCGGTGACTGGATATCACCTCCCACTTGAAACGCTGGAGTGCAACCAGGTTCAGTCCATTAGTGCTTGCACATACTGGGGGTCAGCATATGATTGCCATTCTCCAAGAGCATTGTAGCATGCCTCATGCACGCAGTCACCTTTTCAGCTGAGGCCCGTGCCCCAGTCAGTATAGCTGTAATAATCAGTCTGTCCACATTGAATGGGTTAGGTGTTGAATGCTATCAGTAAGCAGCAACGAGCTTCCAGATGGCAACGATCTGTGCTTTTCACTGGAAGACAGAGGAGCTCTCAGGTTGGTGTACAGCCTGTATCACTTGACACTGGGGTGCACACAGTTGTCTCCAGCACAGTGCTTTTGTCATATTGAAGTTCTCAGGCTGCTGTTACTATCCCAGCCCAGCAACAAATCGTTTTCCCACTGGTTGACAAAGATATAATAAACCCACAAAAACAGTGTTTCCATGATGAGGCTGAGCCAAGTTTCCCCTTAAAGCAACTGATTTATCTCTCATCCTCGTCCTTGTCCATGCCTCTACCTCACTGTCTTCCTGAAGCATCTGCAGGAGGCATAGCTACCGCTGTCGTGGCTTCTGCTGAAACGGCAGCAGGGGCAGCTTGATAAGACTAATGGTTGGCTGGCTAAACTGCAGCTCTACGGCAGAGACTTGTCAAATGCGTTTACACAAGCCACTGAATATTCACAATGATCTGTAGTGTACTGTTTCAGCCACCCAGATAACAACTTAAAAATGGGGTTAGGTGGCCTGAAAAGACATGGGATTGGAAGGAAGAGAATGGTGGAATTTTCTGAGTTTGGTCCTGTGCCCAGAATGCCATTGCACTCCACCAAGTCTCACAGTGTGCAGCAGTAGCCTAATGGAGTACCCAAGTGCAAGGTTGAGCGTTAACCCTGAAGGTTTTCCTCAACTGTGGGAATAGTGCTTTGCAGGGAAGTAAAAGTCAGCCATTGATACGGAGGTGGTTACTGTGTGCCATCCGACACGCAGCAGCCCTTCCACAGTGCTTCAGTCTCATGCAGATCCTCAATCAGACACATTGTCAGTAATAATTCCTTCACTGACTGTTGGATTATGCTCAAAGAGTAGAAGAGACTGATGTAAACAGTGAAGTGTTTTAGGAAATATAAAAAAGTCTCTCATATGACTTCTGACGTAAGGGGAAGGAAGATACTATCCAGAAAGCACTTGACTTTGAATAAAATCTGGAATGAGATCTTCCACAGTTACTCCTCCTTAAGTTGTTCTGAAATGGCCTTAAAGGAACATAGAGGGTAATTGTCTTAGACTTTATGTTCTTACAGTGCCACACTTTCAAAACCTGATGCTAAGATTTAGTAAATTAATTTCTGCACAATTGCATGTCTATATTTGTGAGCCCACTTGCCATAATTGTATGTGCAAATCTGGTATTCATATGTGCAAATAGCCTCTTTTGCAAAAAGGTGTATTAGACCAGATCCAATATCAGCTCAACAGTCCTGTGCTATGCTAACACTGGAGGGAGAAAAAGGGGGTTTCCTTTCTCTCCAAAAATTACTTTCCCACATATTTTAAATATGTACAAAGCCCATTTAGACAGCTAATTGGCTGTTACTGCACAGGCATAACAGATTTGTACTCTGCCATAGTTTCACACGCAAAGGCATGCATTTTTGTGCACAGACATGGGACCTTACATTTTGAAAATCTATTCCTTAGACATACATGTAGCTGAAAACTAGTCTTTCCTTTGAAGTTGGCATAAACGACAGTATGTACAAATTCTAGCTTAAGATATATTAAAAAGAGAGTAGTTTCTTAGTAGCTTCAGCATTCTAAGTCTGACACATTGCTTTTTCCATTCCTTGCTGTAGCATGTTTTCACAACAGTCCCCACCACATTTTGGGCAGCAAGCAAGCACCAGCATGTACAATAATAACATGAACATCAGTGTATCCATGGCAACCAACACAAGTGGTATGAACAACATGAACCAGATGACAGGGCAGATCAGCATGACCTCAGCGACCTCTGTGCCTACATCAGGGTTGTCCTCCATGGGTCCTGAGCAGGTGAGAATTTAAGGACTTGAGATGACAGCTAGAGGATTTTCTTTGACTTTCAGTAGTTTTTCAGGTCCGCTGCGTTGGGCTGTAACTGCTGTAAGCCATTACGTTTCTTTTGCTAGTTTCCTTGAGAAATGATGATGTTAAAAAGGCTTTGTTTTTAGCTCTGCACTCAGATAACCAAGGTGACTGATGAGGTAGAGGGCACCTTTTGCATCTGAGTTTCCCACTGTGACCTAGCACTACTGTAGCTAGCGCATGTAGTTGGTCCTGGACTTCCATGGAAAGCGCGTGCTGATCTAGCTCCTGTTTTCAGTAGGTAAGTTTCCATAGCACAGTTGCAGGTCACCAGTGTCCTTGCTAATTTTCTCAGCCGTGGAGGCTAGGACTGAATCGCAGGCAGCTGTTTCCCAGAGATAAGAGTGAAAGATGCTGGCGTGGGCAGTGTGTGGAAGGTGCTTCTACTGCCACTGTGTTCGTAGTACCAGACAATAGGCAGTCAACTTCAAGAACTATCAGTCTGGCACCTTCACGAGCACAAAATCCACCTTTTTGTAATGTGGTCTGTATAAAATAGATTGCTGAATCAATAGGTAAGTAACCTGTTTATTTCTGCTGAGAGGAGGTTTGCACACTCATTTTTATTTGAGACTGCTACTTAGGGTATCTGAAATAAGGAAAATAACATTTCTGTTTATCAGCCTGCAATTAAACTCACACAGTACATTAATAAGTATTTGACAAACAAGTCCTCTTAATTAACAGTTTCATATGTTTGTTTCAGAGCTGAACTTCCATTTGTTCAACACGCAGACTTGAAATTATGCACTTTTCTTAGAAATATTGGCAGGAAAGTACCTCTTACGTCTTCAGGCAGCGTCTCCTGCTAGGGTGGACAATATTGTAAACCTTTCTTCTGAGACCATAATCATAGAATCATTGAGGTTGGAAAAGACCTTTAAGATCATCGAGTCCAACCATAAACCTGGCACTGCCAAGTCCACCACTAAACCGTGTCCCTAAGCACCACATCTATATGTCTTCTAAATACCTCCAGGGATGATGATTCAACCACTTCCCTGGGCAGCCTGTTCCAATGCTTGACAACCCTTTCCGTGACGAAATTTTTCCTAATATCCAGTTTTCCAGCCTAAATTTGGTAACAGACTATTTACTTTTCCAATATTGTCCTTTAGCTTAAATAACTCTTTTCTCTTCTTCTATTTTAGAAAGAGCCGTTCTATCAACATGATTTTTTTTTGTTGTTGTTTTGAGGTTGTTGGATTGTTTTGGTTTGGGTTTCTTGGGGTTTTTCTTGTAAGTTAAACAAGCCACAGTGTTACGGTCTCTTCTTGTAGGCTTTAAATTCCCTTTCCTTTTCTGCACCTGTTCCAGTTTGAATCAGTATTTCCTAAGCACCAGAGCCATGTGCATAACACTAGTTCTTCCCCATTTCTCTTGGAATACTCTGACAGATATAGCCCCAGATCACATTTGTCTTTTCCAGCTGCCGCATACTGGTGACCTGAAGTAATTTTGATACTCCCAAATCTGTCACCTCCTCTGATATTCCCGGTTGCTATGCCCAACTATAGCAGACTTTTTTATTATTATTAGTTCCCAAGTGCATACTGTTGCACACATTTAATGTAGTAAAAGAATAGTAAAATGAAAAAAGAAAAGAGTGGGGATTTGAAGGTGACAGCCCAGTCTGGTTTCTCAGCATGCCCATGCTACATAATTTTCCCCAGGAACCTGAACTGAGAAACATGCATTATAGAAGAAGATCTGTTGTATTTCAAAGATATCCCTGCAGACTACTGTTTCCACTAGCACAGTTGTCACGCTGCTTTTCCTTCCTGCTAGACCTACAAGATCTTGTTTCAAAGATAGCATTTATCTAACTTCCAGTAAGCTGAATAGGCTGAGGTTCTTTATCCATCTCAACATTTGTTTTTCAGCCCATCAGTCCCTTTTGTGGATCTGCTTTAAACTCCGTTGTTGTAACCTCCTTCTAGAAGTATGAACAGAGTAACCAGAGACGGTGATTTAACAGTGACTGGACCAAAGCTGTGCAGAGTCGAGTTCTGCTTGTAATTTCTCTTTCAATCCATGGGTTGCCTTGGCTCTGTTGGTGACAACATCACACTGGAGATCACATACTAAAACCCTTACGATGATCCCCAAATCCTCCTCAGCACGTTCTACGTAGATGAAACCTGCATTCTTTGTTCCCAAATGTATTATCTTCCTTAAGTGCTGTGGCTCATTCTGTAACAGTAACCTGTTTTCCTCCTGATTTACCACCCCAGCACTGTGTCATCTGCAGACTCTGCAAGCAAATGTTTTATGTTTCATCTAGGTCAGAGGTGGCCAGCTGGCAGCTGAGGGGCCATTTCTGGGCCACAAGACAGTACTTTTTAGTCCTCAGGAATGTTTGCTGTGCTGCTTCGCATTTTCTTTTCTGAGAGACAGGAATAAATAAAAATGTTTATATGAATACTAAAACTGGTTTATTTTCTTCTGTGTTCAGGGCATAGTGTTTTACAATTTGGCATCTTTATTTAGCAATTGACCTAGGCTTTTTCTCGTAACTGGTGGTTTTCAAAATGGCTACATTTTCTTTAATTCTGCTGACTGTTGCCATTACATTCATTCTTTTGGCTTTTTTATACTGTCACCTACACTTTTACTTACTTATTCATTGCCATTTTTTTGTTCCGTAATACGTAATTTTAACTTCACATTCTCATCTCTTTCTAACCACAGTGAATAACAGTGGTTATGCTACAAATGTGTTTCAGCTTTAAAAAAAAAAACTTAGCACTTCATATGTTAGTGGATGGTTTGGGAAGTAATATGTATTACTTGTTAGTAAAAGCCGTGCCTGGCCTTATTTACCTGGCAAGAAGCAAGTATATTACCTTTGGTACCGAACGGGTTGGTTTGGCTCTGTCTCCTGTCTCTCTTTGTGGCACTATACTGGATCATACAGACATATCCAGAGCTCAGAAATACTAAGTTTGGTGTTTATCTGCTCATACTGGTATATCTCCAGCTTCTCTTGTTTTACTGCCTAGGCTCCCAGCATCGCCAAGTAGAAAATGAAGAATTTGCCCAAAATATTGTATTTTCCTTGGGCTTGCTATTTACGATGCTTAGAGACTCTTTTATGTACTTGAGGGATCAGACCTTGTCTCATTATCATCTTCTCCCTTATACATTAAAGCTCTCTAGGCTGCTCTTACTAGTGTGTCTTCTAGGAGGCTGATATCAGGAATGCTGAAATGCTAGCTGCCAGGTCTGCAGGTGCCTTCTGTCCAAAACAGCTTCCCCAGGCATCGAGGAAGTCTAAACCTTCCCAGTGTTACACTGTTCACACAACTTACTGTCTCCTTGTCATCATCGTCATCGTGTTTGCACAATGGACTGTTGCCGTGGTTTTGCCTGTTCCTTGTTTTGCACCACAGATCCATGTTATTTACTGAGTTGTCAGAGAAGCAATTTGAAACCTATGCAAGAGAAGAGACTTCTCAGTATATGAAATAAACCACTCTCTAGATGTCCACTCAGAGTGGATGTTTATTAATCTGCACAGGTGCAGTATTCCCCAGGCCAAAATTATCATGGCATCTACAAAGAGTTATCTTGAAACAGTATTTCGATTTTGTTCAGCATAGTGGGTGAAAGGAGCTCTGGAGTGGTAGGAAACTTTTCTTATTAGACACCTTGTATATAATTCTGATTTATTAGCAGCAGGCTGTATTAATGTGCTTAATTGCCAAAGGAATTGTAAAACATCTTCTGTCTTGTTTTAGTCAGGTTTCATATCTGATAACACCGCTTGACCTGTCTTCAGAAAATGATAAAAACCCTTCCATTTCTTTGTCCTTCTCCATACTTCTCTGATTGAATTGTTACTGCAGTCAGAAAAATTAATGTGTGAATGTGGGTTGTTTTGTTTCAAGGACTTCTGAAGCAAAGGTACTCATATAACAAAACAGTAGGATTTTTTTTTTTTTTTAATCTGTTACCATGCCACTCAGGATTCTTGCATCATCGCTGACAAAGAGATTCTGTGATAGGAACTTCACTGGTGCCTTTGCTGCTTTTGTGGTGTGCAGCCTGGAACCATCTTCCTTTTCCATACCTGTCCACACTCTGCCATGATGCAAATCATGCACTCATCTTTTTGCTCCAAAACTGCTGTTGATTCAGTATACAATTTTTTATTTCTTTTTATTTTTTCCTTCCTTTGTCTACTGAACAAACAGAAAAGGCAGTTGTGCCTGTGCATTCTGATGAATGTTGATCAATGGCAGAAAACACTTTTCAAACATGGATCCTGTTGCTTAGTCAAATGCATGTAGATAAAGCTGTGAAGCTGTCTACTTTATTTCTTTCCAAACAAAATAGTGTGGTTGTCTTCCCTTCTCATTTAAAATTTCAGGTTCAGGTTTAAAAGTCTGCTCATTTGTATTAAGAAGCAGAAAGCATCACTAGAAGGCTTGCAGTGCTAAACAATCAATTTCTTCAGAGTTGAAATTTCTATGGCAAAAATATTTAAGTTTTTAACTGAACTACAGTCTTGTCTTTGGCAGCATTTGAAACCACTTCTTTAGGTGGTTGCATGCGATTGCATTTAGCTTTGCGACGTTCTGCGAAATCGGTGAATAGCAACAGAATCAACAGTCAGGAGGACCTGAAATGAGAAGACTTTGGTGTGGTGAATTCGAGACAGTCTTCCCCCCTTACTGCAGCAGGTTTCTGTAGCTGAAGTGAGGTAGTGCCGTGGCAGAACCTCCTCTCCTTGGCAACACGAGTCTCCTAAAGGGCAGGTGACACAGAAAACAGCTTTTTCCTTCCAGCAAAATCTGGAGGGGCATATCTTCACTGTTATCACATCCATCTAGTCTGAGGGAAGTAACAGAGAGAAACGAGTCAACAAAAACTCCCTAGGAAGAGGCTTCTTTCCCTGTAAAGCTTCTAAGGAAAGATGGATTTTCTAATATTTCAGAACTGCGCTGAAGGGCTGTGTTTTGTATTTTATACGAGTTCCTACACGGTGAGATTAATCCTTTGATTAAGAAAGCAATGTTGTAAATTTGGCAAGCCACTCTTTCCACATAACTAAGCATGACAGACCCTTTGGTTGTGCAAAATCACACAGCTTCAATACTTTCCCGTGGCTGTGTTCAGAAAATTGTTAAGGCTATCCGTTTAGGAAAGCACGCAGCTGCAGGTTTTCCCATTTAATGCTATCTTTCTCCCATTGCTTACGAGCAGAAAAGTAAGCGTCATTAAAACTAAGTCAATAGTCGGTATAATTCAGCCTGCGTGTTACCTCATCAGGCTTTGAGAGAATTGTGTGGTGGTTTGCAAGCAGAAAAGCTGTGTGTTACTGAGGTTAGGAAAGCAGTTACGCATTTCTGCTTTCAGGACTTTGAGAGCAGGCATGTCCTCTTCAAATAATACTGACCTGATTTATGGAGCCTGTTTTGTAAAATACGCACAAGGGTCATAGTATCAGGAATTAAATCTTTGTTATTGACTGGGAAGCAGAATGATATGAGTCAAACACACGCTGCACAAGAAGGGTGCTCGGCTATATGGTCACTTCCCTGATTGCAACATCATCTCAAAAGTGGATGTTGGTACATGCAAGTAGCATAGTGGTTTATAATGCTGCTTTTTAATTCCCAGCCCTCTTCCCAATGTATTTTTAAATTAATTCTCTTTAATATCTTGTTACCAATAGGTTAATGATCCTGCTATGAGGGGAGGCAATCTTTTTCCAAACCAGCTGCCTGGAATGGATATGATAAAGCAGGATGGAGATGCAACACGGGTGAGAAATGACATATATAGGCATACAGAGGCAACGGAACTATGAATATACTGTGGTATACTTACAAAGTTAAAAGGACCCAGGGTAATAGTGATTAAGTTTTTTGCAATTAATTTTTTTAATTCCGCTTTTGGTGACATCTATATTAAGTTCCTTGTTTAGATCCCACTAGCCTTACTGAAGTGAGTAATACAGAACACATTTACATTAACAGAATACATTACATTATTGAATTAACAAACAGTCACATTCAGCGGACTTAATGTATAGTTGTATTTGCTTTTTACAGAGCAATTACATGACTGTTTGCTGATGGTGGGAAAGACGGACTGTTGATTTATATTTGCACTGCGGCATGCTTAACCCATTTCATGTTTCATCCTGCCTAAGTGTTTTTCCACTTCTCGTTGCATTATACTTAGGGCAAAAATCTCATGAATTATTTAATTTATTACTTTCTGTACAGTGCTCCTCCTGAGAAAGAGTGGTAGAACTGAACTAATTTTCACACGAATTTCCAACTGACAGGGTACTTAGCGTTTGCTTAGGTCAAAACCGATTTGTATTCCAGAGGGTGACAGTACTAAAGGAAAGACATTGTGGAGTTCTTGGCGTGTGGCCGAGCGAGCGAGGTGGTTTTTATGTGCCCCTCTTCGGCGGAAGGGGTTTTTTGGGGGGGAATAATCTAAGTTTAAGATAGGTTTGTTACAACAAACCCGGTATGTCGAGACCTGACGTGAGCGCAGCATTCTCCCCGCGTGATGCCAGCACTGCAGCTGTGCGGAGCCATCCGGACGTAACGCAGCTGACCTTTCTGTACAGCGAAGCAGCCTGACGTAGAAACCTGCGCACACCCTGCTGACGTCGCTCGGGGCGCGTGGGGGGGGTGCGTCTCGCCTCCGTCCGCCGCCCCTCCCGCACCGCCGCTCCTCCCCAGCGCTCCCGGTGAAGAGGATGGGACGCGAAGGCTTTAAATTGTCCCTTTCCTGAGCGCCTTCTCGTAGCCCAACGAGGCAGCTCTCACCCGTCAGCCCTACCGGAGCCACTGTGTAACCTGCGGGAGGGCCGTCCCTGGCACCCCTGTTTCCTGTCCTCGCCTCCTGTGCGGCGTCGAAATCGGAAAGGTGGAATTAAACAGATTATCCTCTTATGCCGAATCCAATAGCAAAATTTAAAGTTTTCTACAGTTAAAGAAATTCGGCTAATAAGGGAAATTAAAAAAAAAATTGACCGCAAATGTATCAAGAGTAACGAAAACAAAGAATGTGAAAGTACTAAGGAAGGAGAAACCACATGTGTATTTTATTGTATCCCTCTTTTTTTTTTTTTTTTTTTTTTGCACACATATGTGTTTAAAACTTCCTGGAGGCCAATTCTTTTCACACCTTCGTGCTTCCTATCAAAATACAAGTGCCTGTCTCTGAGAGCGGAGGATCTGTGCATAGAGAGTCTCTTCTGCAACCATTTTGCGATCGCTTTGATGATTAATAAAAAGATGCAGCGTGTTCTGCTTTAGCGGCAGCTGTCATATACCAAGGCGTTATCTTCCTACTTAGTGCATTCCCTAACCAGCTAGATTTCCTGGGCTAAGAGAAGCCAGACTGTCAGAGAACAAAATACCAGGTACCACTGAGGAAAGAAAGGGAATAGGCTGTTGAGGGGGAAGCAGAAGAAGAGGAAGGAGGTGGCAGATTTTAAAGAATGGTTGAAGAGAGCCGGAAAAGAGAGTGGCTGTGACAGAAAGGGTACGAGAGAGGGTGGAGAGAGGTCAGACAAGAGGGCGCAGGTAGAAGGAAATGAGTGGCAGGACTTTGGGCAGCAAATCTGGCGGGTTTAAAATTAGAATAATGGAGTCTGTGCCATGACAGACAGACAGTGGCTATGCATGACAGCAGTTTTGTCTCACCTGGAGAACAGTTAACTTCTTAAAACGTCTTGAATTATTTGGTAAGGGTACATCGGACTGCACTCTGTGATTTTACTTTTATTCTACTAATGTAGCTCTGACTGTCAAGAAAAACGTAGATGGTTTATATGCACTATAAATACCTTTTACTGAACTCTGAACTGTGATAGAGGTTAAGTAGCTACTGTTTTCACGCGTCTGTGCTATAAACTACTACGTAACTTTTTTTTTTTTTAAAGCTCAGGGGGTGTAATGAGAAAGGTGAGGAGGGGATTAATGTGCTTCAACCCTTGGCAGTTGTGGCTTTAACGTATGAAAGCTGAGAAATTAATCTGACAAATGAGAAACAAACCCATCTGACAAATTTGAGGGTTTTTCCAATGTTTCATGAAGTTGATCTCAACACCTGTATCATTTAAAGGGAACAGTTCTATTTAAGAGTTGAGTAACCAGGAAATAACATGCTATTGCTGAAATCAGCACAGCACAACTGTGGATGTCAGATCCCTACATTTACTGTTTTGTCTGCTGAATACCGATTCACTTTGTTTTAACACGTTAAGGATAAAACTTCTACAGCTTTAAGTCTTGCAAGGATGATACTAATGTTTAACAGAGCAGCTGTTTTTAAAGTGAGTAGAGGACAGAGAACTTTCTGTCTCTTTCGAGGCACGAAGTACCCTTCATTTGTAGAGCTGAAAATAGTTGCAACTGGAACAGCTTAATATGTTATTTTGCCATTATTGGAACAAATTTGTAGTAACTAATTTCACATGGTAAAAGAAAATTTTGAACCTGCTCCTATTTAAAAGTAAATGTCTGAAGAATACTGCTTGTAGCTGAGGTTTTTGAGGGGTGTTCAGTTTAACTTAATACAGTATAGCAGTAATTCTATAGTCAACGATCTTCAGGGTTTTCAGATTAACTCTCTACTCTGAAGTTGCGTACATCAGCCGTAGAAGTTATTCTGAGCAATTTATAGAATCATAGAATCGTTTAGGTTGGAAAAGACC